TTAAAACAAATCCCATTGACTTTGGGGGGTGGCCATATCCCTGGCATTCGGCCCCCGTATGGGGTGATTTTGTGGCATGGCTGGCCACACACCTTGAAAACGGAGACCTAGTCTTTCTGATGTGAGTGATTGGTCACCCGTGGCCTCTGAGGCTTCTTACAAGCACAGATTCAGAGGGAATGTCCAGCCACATTTCTTGCCCCTCTAACAAGACTACTCTCTCAGTTGGCACTTGAAGCAGTAGCAGCCATTTCCAGAAGCTGGGGGTACAGGAGACTCGAGGATTAAGACTTGGATATGGGCCCTCCACTTTTGGAAGGAGCTTATTTGGGGGCATAGGTAGTGAGGGGGCACTGACTATACATGGGGGTCTTAGAGAGGGGGGCCAAAAGCCAGAAAAAGAGGCCTGGTCACTGTAAGACCCGCCACCATTCTATTTCTGAGAAAAATGGGGATCCAGCCAGGCCTTTCTGGGGCTGCAGTGGGAAGGGCACACTCTCTACTGCCACTGTTTTAAACTGCAACTAGTGAGAGCCGCCCCTGGTCCTCATGCCCCAAGGACCCAGCCCGCCAAGCACAGGCTGCGAGAAACGCCCCCCTCCCCACCCCCCGCCCTGACCGCTCGCTGCCCTTTGCTGATCTCATATGGTCACAAGTCTCCAAAGATGGTCCCTAGGATTTAGGTCCCTCCTCCCACACTGAATCTAGGCCCGCCCAGTGTCACCAGTAGAATGTGGTGGAAGGAACACTGTGAGCCCCAAGGCTAGGTTAGAAGAAGCCTTGCAACTTCTGCCTGAGTCTTGGGACACTCCCTCTTGGGACTCAGCCACCGTGTTCTGACAAGACCGAGCGCTGTGGAGAAGCATGGCTGTCTACCATGTGAGAAAAGGAGCCGTCCTGGCCTCCAGCCTTGTCCAGGCTTTCTCTGGCTCAGCCCTAGCCACCATCTGACCACACCACCATGAGATACCACAAGCAAGAGCCCAGCTGAGCTGAACCCCAAGGAAGAATGGTAAATTATAACTCAACGCCACTAAGTTTGGGGCAGTTTTTTGCACAGCGTTAGAGATCTGTAACCCTGGTTGTTCCTGCTATGCTCTCTGGCTTGCACAGGGCCCAGGGAGGACAGCGGGGAAAAGTGACCCAAAAATATGGTCTGATTCAAGAGACTCCAGAGGCTGACGAACCCAGAAGTGTCAAGGGGCAGGTTGATGTGTGACTACCCACACTAATCTTAGGAGAACAAGATAGCCAGAGCCTGTTCTTAGTCAGTAGAATAAGAGCTCTCAGAGGTAGAGGCCTGCCATATTTATCTTTGTGTCCCCAAAGCCTAACACTAGCCAGGCACTTTGAGTTCTGCTCCATCCCCCTCATTGAATTAAGTGACTGTGTCTCCTCTCCAGAAGTGAGTCCCGGGGAGAGTTCGGGCAGGCCTCCTGGTCCCGAGAAATCTTTCAAGAGGCCTTCAGTGCAGACCTGGCCAGGCTCCCCACTGTGACTGCTGCCTTTCCCTGTCGCTCAAAGGCCCTGGACAGGCCAGGGTCCCCCAGGGAGTGCGTGTGCCATGGCCCCTGACCTCAGGGAGCACTCACCGTTGACACTGTGGGCGGTTGACACTTGAACAGTCGATGCTTCCCAAAACACCACCAGCAGAGAGAGCAGAATTAAACAGAGCTGCCAGCCCTGTTCTGTGAGAGGAAGAGTAGGTGGGTTTGTTTAAAATACTCCCATTACAGTCAGTTAACCTTTATGTTCCCTAAATGAAAATTGTATAAACCTGAAATTTTCGTTGATCAGGTTGCCTAGGAACAGGCAGCAGGTTTTCATAAGACAATGCAATAGATTGTCACCGATAGGGCTATTAGGAAGTGAGCTGGTTAGCGGCATTATTCCCCATCCTGGTGTTGGTGCGAGGTAATTATCCATCTGCCTGTGTGGGACACGCCCATCTTCCCAGGCTTGGGCAGGTTCATGCAAATAAGCTTTCTCAACCTTCCTCTCTGGGGTCCTGGAGCCAGTTGTCATCCCTGGGCTTAGGAGAGAAACCTAAGGGCCTAATTCAGGTGAATTGATTTCTTTCTAATCACCTTCCCCTGCCCACCCCCACTTGCAGCAATAATGTTTAATAACCCTATGATAATCTATTGCACTGTCTCATGAAAACCTGCTGCCTCTTCCTAGCAGAAAACTTGGAAAATAAACAGTAGCAGAATGCCCTGTGGAAACTAAGTAACAAAATCACTCTAAGACAACTTTGGTGTGTCTTTTTAGTATTGTTTCCCTATATGACATAGACACTTGTTTATTCTCCAGAAAGTCACTGCAGTTTGTTTTTGTGTTTTTGTTTTTTCCTTCTGCAGTTAGAGTGACCAGCTGTCCTAGTTTGCTTGGAACTGAGGGTTTTCCCAGTACCAGTGCATATTGTTATCAGTATGCTTTTCCACAGTTGCATAGCACTCAGTCAGGGTATATGGACGAAGCTCAGCTTAGCCTATTCCCTATTCTTGAATATTCTGAGTATTTCCTTAAAATATATATGTATAATTAATACTTATGATGAATAGCTCATCCATATGTCCTTGTAGAATAATTCCTAAAGATGAACTGATTAGGTGTAAGGTAAATGTGTGCCAATTTCAACCCCTCATCCCCATGCCCCCAGGCACCCTTACATCAATCATTTCAATCTGGTAGGCAAAAAAAAAAAAAAGTCTCACTTTGGGGATGTGCACTTCTTTATTAGCTGTTTGTAAACTGTCTATTCATGTCTTTTATCCACTTCTCTTTCGGGATGCTCATCTCTTTACTTTTGATGCGGATTTTTCAGATCAGCCTAGCCCCACAAGTGTCAGCTCTAATGGACTGACAAGCCAAGTCCTGAGTGTCGTGACTGCAGGGGGTTGGGGGGAAGGCTGGCAACCCTAGCCCCCAGGTTGTTGGCTCTAACGGGCTGGCAAGCCAAGCCTTCCGGGTGCCTCAGCTTCAGAGTCTCACCATCCTACAGCAGCTCTCCTGGTTCAGCTGGCTCTGTCGGCTGGCAAGCCAGCCTCTGGGGTGCATGACTTTTCGACTCCGATGGTCTTCTGCAGCTCTTTAGGTTGCAGCTTTTCAGAGTTAAGGTTCTTGTCTCATGCCCAGGAAGAATGAGGGAAACGGACAGCCAGAAGGTGAGAATGCAAGATTTATTGAGGACACAAAAGCTCCCACAGCAGGAGGGGGCCTGAAAGGGTTGCCCATCTGGAGCTGAAAACCTGGTGCTTATATAGCCCTAAGTCCAAGCCAGTTGGCTAGCACTAGCCGATTGTTGCTGTTCTGATTGGTTACTTTTCAATCCCAGCAGTGAGGACTTTAGCTCTAGTTTGAGAGACTTGCAGGGAGCTTGTTTACCAATGCTGAGCCTGAGAGGCCTGCCGGGAATTCACTACATTGTTACCAGAGGACTCCACTATCTGTCTACCTAGCCTTTCCTTTCTCTAGCTATCTCCTGTCTTACTTTTAATCTCTAAAACTCTTTGTATGAAGCATATTAGTCATGAATGTTGAACCATTTTGTCTATTTTTAAGGCATTTGTGGTTATCACTTTAGAAAGGGCAGAGTAATACCAGTTATCTGGTGTATTTGAAGAAAGAGGAGCTATAGTTTAGGTAATTAAAGCATTTCCCTAAACTTGAGCACTAAAATATTTCTGGATTGACGTATTTGGGATGAGAGTTTCTCCAAAATGGATAACCCATACAGGTCCCTTTTTTAGACAATGTATGCTGCACACAATCTGACTTTTTCTTGCTATCCCGGACACACTGTGAACAATAGTAATTTTCTGTGTGACAGTGATACCCTCAGCAGCTGTTGATCTACGTGGAGTTTTTGCTGCTATACCATATGGTCCAGACTGCTCTTTAAATAAGATACCTGATTCCTGTCTTTTCTCCGTCACTATCAGGCTGTCGTGCTGTTACTTTTGGCTGCTATAAGCATCCCTGCCTTACCCTACAACCTCCCAGCTTCATCAGCAGTGGGATTGATTACCGGATAACAATGCTCGTTAAATTGCTCTGTAAACTACAAGCAAGTAAGTGCTGAGCCAGGGCCCCAAGGTGCCCTAGCGAAACAGTTGAGGAGCTTCTGCGGGCCACAGTTGTACTTATTTTCTGAGATTTGTACTTCGCATCGTTAATTCAAGGTGGATAAATAAGTGACCTCTGGGTATGCGAATGGAATAGGATTAAGAAATTTTAGAGTCAGAAGGGAAACAGAAAGGAAAGATTAGCAGCCACTTCAAGATGTAGCTGCAGAATGAGAAACCAGTAATCCCGATGAATGGAATCAGTGTCTAATCTCATTACTTCCCTCAGGAGTGTCTAGGTTTTGTGGGAATGGTGACATCGCTGACCTAGAAATGTTAAAGATCCGGCTTATAGGCCTGCACCTGCTGGGGGTGGCTTTGGCTTTCAGCATGTGACACAAACCTTCTGATGCTCAGTTTTCTCATCTGTGAAATGGAGCTAAGTCTTAGTGGCCTGTCTCTTTATGAGAATTATAATCAGATGGACTGATGGGAAGAGTCATTGGCCTGAAGAAGCGTCAGAGGAATTTGTAAATGTGTAAGGGCCACACAGTCGCAAGGGATTATTATTATTGCTGTCATTGTTATTATTCACAGATACACCCAGCAGCCGTCGCCCACCTCCCTAACTATCGTGCCATCTGCACAAGCGTCAGCCTGAGCTTCAACCCACAAGTGTATCTTGAGCTTATATCCTTGCCGCCCCTCCAGAACCCAATTTCATCCTTGTAGGTTTTTTCCCAAAGCAGGATTTGCACAAGTGGCGTGTTTTCTTAAATATTTATTTTGCAGGCCATTTACTCGGCACGGCTATTTTTACAGTGAGTAAGGAGCAAGGCTAAAAATAACTTAGCTGGTAACCAGATCAGTTCTGCATTTGACATTTACGTGGAATTCATTTGCATCTCATTTGTTCGCTTTTCTGTTTAACAGGTAGAATGTAAGAAAGCCCAACCGAAAGAAGTCATGTTCCCACCTGGGACAAGAGGCCGGGCCCGGGGACTGCCTTACACCATGGATGCGTTCATGCTCGGCATGGGAATGCTGGGTGAGTGGACAGAACACCATGGATTGGGAGGGCGATGGAGACCTATGCTCCCCACTGGGTCACCTGCCAGTTGGGCAAACTGCTTTACCAGTCCGAGCCTGTCTCCTTGACTGTGGAGGAGAATGATAATTCCCCTTTTCAAGACAGTTGTGATGATTAAATGAATATGTGTGTGTGTGTGTATGTGTGTGTGTGATCCCTCCCCAAAAAACAGAATTTTTTTTGGAGGGACGCACCTTGTAGCACAGACTTCTCCCACTAGTTAAATGTTCTAGGAACCCATCAGCATCAGTGTACCTGCCAGCGTTGTTGCGAGAGGCTGCATTTGGCTTCTGCTTTCGGCTTCACTGAATTTTTTTTTTGGAGACTCATCATGTTTGCCCATTGCATGATGGGTGATTCACAAACACATCTGCCCACAGTGTGCTGAGTGTTCAGCAGTTTGTTACCAAAAACAGCATGAGCCCCACCCTCCCTATTCACCTGATCTGGCCCAGAGCAATTCTTTTTTGTTTCCTGGATGAAAAAAGTCCTCAAAGGGAAATGTGTTGCTGATGTGAAAGAAGTGAAACAAAAAACTGCAGAAGCACTAAAAGGCATCCAAATTGATGAGTTCAGAAACTATTTTGAGCAGTAGAAAAAGCATCTTGTTAGGTGTATTGCATCTAACGGAAAGTCCTTTGAAGGTGACTGAAGTTTAAATATGTAAGACTAAATACACAAATTTTTATAAATAAATTTCTTTTGGGGGTCTAAATATATGTTCACACACACACACACACACACACACACGCACACGCTTATGTTTAAAATACAAAATCTTGCCTCATGCCTGGCTGATAGGATCAGTTTTCTCTCCTTTCCATCCCCTTTCTCAAAAGAAAGAAAAGTCTCCTTCTGACTCAGCCCTTTCTGCTGAGAGTTCTTAAGACCGAAGGACTCCTGGCTGGCTTAACTTGTGTGGTCTAAGGCTACATTTTCTAAAACTTGGGAGAGGAGGGGAAGCGGTAAGGGTGGACGATAATCCTGTCTATTTAAATGATTAACATTTTTCTCTTGGGATATCAAAATTTGCATTTAAATGGATGTTTTAAATAGCCTGTTTTACTCTTTATTTGCCAAAAAAAAAAAAAAAATGATGAAAGACAAAGTGTGTTTGTTCTGACTAAAAATGATTTCTCCTGGCTTTTAGAGAAATTGAGTTGCATATTATGCCCCTTTCCTTAAAGGTATCTCTGTCCGTCCTGCGTAGATAATTGAAAATCTTACCGCTTAAATGGCATGAAAGATGGGAGACAGCAGAGGAGATGCGTAATGGTGTGGGTCGCAACAATAATTAGAAATTTAAAGGCGAGAGAACAGCATTTTAGTGCAAGTTATTGTGTGTCAGGAAAATACTAATTAAATGGAATAAATGGTAGTTAATGGTAAAATTCCATTCAGGCACATGAGCTGTCTGGTTTTAATGGGTTTTCATTTGGTTTGGCTAAGAGTCCCTCTTCTATATTGTTTGATAAGTCCTTTCTATATTTTCAGAGTTGCTGCTGTTTGAATTATTCCTGGCTTAGTTTTAAATTTATAAAATTTTTTTTAGTCTTACAAATAATTGTATCTACTTGAAATAACAAGGATGAGTAAAGCTATTTAGAGGAACTTTATAAAATGGAGAGAGATGTCATGAACATATTAAAAGTGGCCAAGATGCTAATTCTTCTCAAATTAATTTTTTAAATTTAACAGGGTTTCAAATAAAAAGCCTATTGTAACTCTTCAAAAATTTGCCAGAGTATTCCAAAACTCACCTGGAAGAAGAAATACATAAGAACATATAAGAACATATAAGAAAATGATTTTTAAAAAAGAAATGAGAAAAGACTAGTTTGACCAAATACCAGAACATAACACAAAGCTGTAGTAATTGAATCAGTATGGTATATAGGAAAACACCTATTGATAGAAAAAGTTGAAGCCTAAACCAACTTTATCTATATTTAAGAGTATAATTACTATTTAAATATTTTAAAGGTGATTGAGAGGCTTCGTCTCTAAAAAAGATCAAATAGCTGGGCATGGTGGTGCACACTTAAAGTCTTAGCTACTGGGAGGCCAAAGCATGAGGATTGCTTGAGCCCAGGAGTTTGAGACCAGCCTAGGCAGCATAGCAAGACCCTGCCTCTGCAAAAATAAAAATAAAAAATTTAGCCAGTTATAGTGGAGCACATCTGTAGTCCCAGCTACTTGGGAGGTTGAGGTGGAATGATTACCTGAACCTGGGAAGTTGAGGCAGAATAATCACCTTAGCCCAGGAGGTTGAGGCTGCAGTGAGCTATGCTTATGCCACTGCATTTTAGCCTGGGTGACAGAGTGAGTCCCCTGACTCAAAAATAAAAATAAAAAATAAAATGAGTGTAAAGGCCCTAGAGCATAAAATGGGAGACGTTTTAGTATCCAAATCTTCAGGTGGTGCCCCACTTCCCCACTTTTCTGAGTCTACCTTGATACTCTTTGCATGCTGGGAAAAATGAGCCGGTTTTCATCAGAGAGAAGTCAGGGTCTGGAGTGGATTCAGCTCAGCTCATGTTAGTTAACAAAGAGCAAAGTCACAGCCATGCTCAGCCTCCCAGACAAGAAGCAAAGGCCCAGACCCACACTGCCACTGACACCCAAGCCTGGACTCCTGGGCGGGCCCTGGGATGTGGTGCTTGACAAGCAGATGGAATCCCTGCCCTTGTGGTGCTTGTGGTCTATTGAGAGACCCGACACGTCACAGCTAATCGCACAGATCCCTACCTAATTCATCGTAAGAGTCACAGGTTGCCTTGAGAGCACCAAGGGAGAAATGGAAACCAGTCTGAGGAATCAGGGGAGAGGCATTTCGGCTGTGACGAGAAGGAACATTCCTTCTCGTTCTTTCTTTCAGAAGGAACAGCCTTCAGATGCGAGGTTCCCACCGTGGGACCCCAAGAGCTGACCGGCCCACCCAGGTGTGTGTGGGCATGGACCAGGGGGCTCCAGGCTTGGCTTTGCCCCTTTCTGAGAGCTCTTGCTGAGCCCAACGCTGGGTCACAGAGGCACTTCTCCCCTAATCAAGCATAGAGTCCTTTGGATGGAAGGAATGGTGTGAGCCCTCGCCAGAGCAGGCCACCCTTTCCCCGCCAGAGCAGGCCTCCACCAAGGGAGGCTGTGCAGTCCAGAGGCAGGAGCTCAGGACTTTGGGATCCTATCCAGACTCTTCACCCTGTCCTCTGTGTGACTTGGGACTTGTGTGGGTGGGGGAGGACGGAGCCCTTGCTGAGGGGATAGTGGGCAGAACCCATTCCTGTGCTTGTCCCTCCGCCAACCGAGCGGTGCCTGCTTCTTGGGGGGAGGATATTTAATACCCGCCAGATGCTTGTCCATCTGCCCTAGCTCTTCCCCCTCCCATGATTCAAGTCATGACTGACATCCCCAAGCCACAGTCAAGAAGTAACTGTTAGGTAAAAATATCATCTCAGTTAAGAGCCTGTTTGTTCTTGAGTTATAACCTTCCAACCTCAGCCCTGCTGCCTAAGGCCTTTGCCCTTTGCCTGCCGTGGCTTTGGTTAAGGCTGCCACCTGGCAGAGCCCCCACACCCCATCCATCCCAACCCCGGGTCACAGAGACACTTCTCCCCTAATCAAGCATAGAGTCCCTTGGATGGAAGGGATGGTGTCAGTCCCAGGCTGAGCTGGCCTCCACCAAGGGAGGCTGTGTGGTCCAGGGGCAAGTGCTCGGGACTTTGGGATCAGGCCTGGACTCTTCACCCTGCCCACTGTGTGACTTGGGACAAGTGGCTTAGCCTCTCTATTCTTCATTTACCCCATCCACAGGGTAATCTCACTTCATGGGGTTGTTGGAGGCCAAATGAAACCCTATCTTGCCTGACAAATGCTGTATTTAGTCAAATTCAAGATGCCATGGCTGCTAAGACGTACCTTCCTGTACCATTCAGAAAGAAAAAAAAAATGCTATTAATTAAACTGCATGATGCTTTCTTATCACATTGAGTGCAAGATAGATGCTGCTTTCAGCGATGTTAAAATGTGAAAAGGATGTGTGTCTTCAAATCAACAAGACACAGTCATATGTACTCAAACTGGGAGATGTAATTAATAAGGCACTAGGGAGCCCTGAGCAAATTATCCGCCGGGTGGGTGTCCGACACCCTACCACTTAGAGTTTCTTACTGTGGCTAAGAACCTAGCCAGACCCACCGATGTGACCCATGGGTGGTGCCTGCAGCCTCTTTCTCCTTGTGCACCCCAGCCCAAGGCATTTGGATTATTCTTAAGTTGCCACCTTCTGATAAAGATCCGTGTGCTGCATTCTGGGCCTCATCAGTCCCTGGCCCCCCCGAATTCCCCAGCTACTGTGGTGAGGCCATCCACATGCCTGCTGAGCAGGGTCTCCTAAGAGAAGTCTCCAGATGGGTCCCCCAGCCAGGAACCAGCTCAGCCGGAGTTCCGGACAGAAAGGATGAATCAGGTTACAGCATCCCGAGAATGAGCTCACAGTCTGGGTGGCCTGTTGCCTCCCCAGCCAGGTCAGAGTCCCTGCCAAGCTTTCTCTAGTGCCCACACTGGAAACTCCCTGGGCTGCCCTCTGTTTCACCCATCAGCACAGCTTGGCATCCTGGGTCTCTAGGTGAGGAGACTGCCACTTCCTGTGCGGAAATGGAAGCCCTTGACACCATCAGCAAAGACTGTTTCCCTCTTTTTTCTTGCTCCTTCCCCTAACTTGGTAGCATGGCAGCAACAGAGCCTAATCCTTAGGTAGGATGGCCTGACATGTCCCCATCAGTCACATGGGTGACATCTCCATGGCACACTATGCCTGCACATTAGTCCTGAAATCGCAGCCATCTCCACCAACAACAATTTGGCTGATGAACTTGGCTCATGCAGAAAAACATTTTTTAAAAATCATTACCACATAAAATGAGATGAGGTTTCAGCAATTTAAGCTTTTATTGTTTAAAGAA